ACTTTAATTTAAAACCTATGAGATTTCACATTTGTTCAAGCTGCATAGCCACCCCTTTTCATGACCTTGGTAGCAAATCTAAGATCAGTTAAATGTTGCTACAAAGTTTTCTTTTTATTTTTTGTATATAGAGACTAAAACCTAATTTAATTTTTAATTTTTTGATCTTTTCTTAGTGACATGAGCTTGAATTGCCTTAATTAAAGTGTTGAGAATGTGAATTATTAAATTTTGAAGATAATAGATAATTATAAACCAATTTTACCAATCATCTTTCTCGATTTTAAACAATTTAAAAGGGTAGCTTAATTGTTGAAATGTGTCATGTTGAAGAAAGTGACAAGAATACTTAGAGAAAGAGAACTATATTTGGTGGAAAATTATTTGTTCCAAAAGGTAGCAACATTAGTGTTGGACCTTTTATAAAGAATGCCAAAATAACTCAAAAGTCTTTTACTTCTCTTCGTTCATCACTTCCCTGCAATTGCTTGCAAGTTTCCTCGTTTACATTTGCTTGACCACATTTGTCAAGCAATAAATGTAATGCATGTATATGCTAATATGTAATATAAGAGTGGAAGAATTTGAAAGTAGGAATCAATTTCTAGACAATTTAAGTCTATGAATTAGATAGATAGTTATAGAAATTTCAAATTAGGAAAGTAGTATGGAAAGATCCACATTTAATGGATGGATAAAAATATTTTTCTTAGATTCTCTAAAATTACTTATAATTTATCAATTACATTTTTATGAAAAAAAATTCCTTACAATTGAGGTCTAGCACTGAATGGTAAACTCATCACAATCAATTCAATTGCTTCCTCACTTCTACTTTTCAAATTAGTTTTGTATTTAGCTTTACATGTTACGGTATAAAATTAATAAACCATATTTTTTTGAAGGGTCAACTTGCAAAGTATAATTTTGTTATTTAATCTTCCTTGTTTAGATTATAGATGAATAGATCTTAAACTTTTTATTAGTCTATTCTCTTTACCATCACTATTTTAATTATCATAGCAATAAATATGAAAATTGACCTACAATAAATATCATGCATGTGCCAATCTTTAATATGAGTCAAAGAAACTTTAAAGTAGGGACCAATTTTTGGACAAAATAGTAGTCCATAAATAAGATAGTAGTAGAAATTTGATTTTATGTAATGCCTATGTAGTAAATTATTGATAAATTGTAATCTTTATATTATTAATATATCTTTGGTGAACCTTCATTAGTGAAAGTATATTAAAAAGGATAATAAATTCTATTGTCACGTGAATAATAAATTTTTTTATTTGTTTAAATAATTTTAAAATTAGTTATCTTTTTACTTAATTAATTTTAATTTTTGTAGATTCGACATGCTTCTTATTACTTTACTATTTTATTACTTAAGTGACTACTACACTTATTAGTAAATTTTAGTGCATCAATTTTTCTTGGGATAATATACCATGAATCTCATCTATTCGTTTCTTGCAAAGTTCTAGTGAAATTAAAAATCAATATAAAGCATTGATACATACATCACTTCCTAATCACAATAGTAGTCCATATGTAAACATCATCCATCACAAGCATGGTGTAATGAATATTAGTTAAAACCTCAAAAGGGCAAAAACAAAGCCGTTTTACAATTTGAACACAAGGGCATTGACAAAGACTTGGATCATAATACCATGACCAAGAATCAATCGTGTCTTTAATTAGTGTGAAAACTTTTGTCTTGTTGTCATAACTCAAATTTTTAATAGAATTTTAGTGTTATTTTTAGTCTTATTTTTTATTTTTTATTTTAACTAATATGCTTTGTCTTTATTTTCCTTGTTAGGCTTACAAACAAAAGAGGATTGGAAAAGGGAGATGAAGGAGTTTAAAATGAGGGACTTAATTGAAGAAATGAAAAGTTGGAGGGATGAAATGCAAAGTTTAAAGCCTCAAACCCAAAAACCCAAAGCTCACCAAAACCCAAAACCCAAAACCCAAAATCAAACCCAAAACCCAAGCCTAAAGCCCAACTACCCAACAACCCAACCTCCCAAAAAACAAAAAAAAAAAAAAAAAATATATATATATATATATATATATATATATGGGGTTAGTGCTTGTCCGCCTTACCTCCCAAAAATTAGGAGGAAAAAGGACAAATATCACATTTAGGAGTGTTTTAAAAATAAGGTAGTTTAGTCTTTTTTAATAAAAAGTTATTGAAACGACGTAGTTTTAGAATGATTTTCTCCCTAATCTTTAGGTGGTAAGGCTGACAATAATTTTTTTCTATATATATATTAAAAGTCCTCTCCCAACCTTCCCCCATTTTCGGTCAACTCTCAGCTTCTCTCCCTCTCTCCCGAGCCAATCTTCTTCCTTTTAGCCAACAGCCATCGCCGACCATCCTCTTCTCCTTCTTCGGTTCCAAGCCGCCGGCGTTAATGGCTTCCACCGCTCCTCCTTTCTTCCTCGCGCAGTTCCCGACCATCCCTTTCTCGCTGCAGGTGGTTCTTCTTCAACCAGCCATGGCTCTTCATCCTACCGATCCCTTTTCACCTTTTCTTTCCCTGATTTGCCCTTTCCTCAAGACAGTCAACAGCCATCCTTTTCCTCAAGATCACCGGTGATTTCCGAGAACCATCCCCACGAGCCACCATGACCCGCGCCGGCGAGTAAGCACGGGAATTGGAAAGAGGAGAGCTGAATCTACCAACCAGCGGTGGCGGTGATGTGCACGCGGAGCTTTGACGAGTTGGCAAAATCCCGATCTCCCTCCAAACTGAAACAAATCTGCAGAGCCAATCTATGCTAGCTACGGATCACGGGTGGGTGACGACAGAGTGAATTGGGCGTGGATGAAGGCCCCAGTGCATGGCCCGGATTTTGTAAAAAGGATCAACATCGGAGAGGCCCGAATGCCTTGCAGATTCGGGAAACAGATCTGAAGAGCCCAAAACCGGGATCCAAAAGACCCGGAGATTGATTTCTAGAATGTTCCGTTTAGGGTTTTTAGGGTTTTTGGTGTTTGGGTATAAATAGGTGGTTTTAGGTTAGCGGTAAGGGGGGTCTTTTGTTTTTGAGTCTGGGTGTTGAGAACGGCGGCAGAAAAGGAGAGGAATTTTGCTAGAGGGAGCCGGTGATTTGGGAGAAGATTTGGGTCTACTTTTGTAGGTAATTTCTTTGAACAGAGGAGTTTTCTGGGAACGGTGGTGAAGGGGATGATGGGAGCCTGGTCTCGTGGGTGGGATCCCTCCCATCAGATCCGGATCTATTTTTCCTCAGAAAACTCTGCCGTGGATGTGTTGTTTTGTTGCTGATTTCTCTATTTTTCATTTAATGTTCAAGGTTATATGTATTTTCTTGAGAAATGAATGAAAGATCATATATTTGCCTGTTTATTTGCCTGATGAATCTGTTCATCTTTCTGCTAAAAAAAATGTATTCATGATGAACATGTTCTTGATTTCAAGAGTGATGAACCTTGATTGCAAATTTTCTTTATCCATGTTTGATTTGTCTTGGTTTATTTTGAGCAGCGGGTCGTGTTTCTGGGTTGGGTCAACCCGATTCAATTCAATATAAAAAAAAATTAAAAAAGGTTAAAAAGGAAAAAAAAAAATTAATAATATAAAATTGTTAATTAATTAAAAAAGTTAGTTTAATTTATAATTAACGAAATTAATTAATTTT